CTCGCTGGGGAAAAGAAGCAGCGGGAGAGACAATGGGACTCCAAAGTTTATTATAAAACAAGCAACTGGACGACTTATGGGAACAAGTGGAACCTGGGACGTGTTTAGAGCCGTCACCGGCCGCCCGGAGAAGGCCCTGGAGGCAGGAGCAGCTCTGGCTGCGGCAGCGGAGGAAAGCCCCAGTCACCGGAGGGAGACCCTCCGTCCCCTCAGCGCTCGTTCCTGGGCCGCTGCTGGCGCTTCCCGGCTCGGCCCCGCCACCCTCGGGGCCAGCCCGGAGCGGGGGCGAGTTTATTCTCTGCCCCCAGAGAACCGCACTCGTTCCCCACAGCTACGAAGCTGGGGAGCTGGAGGGAGACGGGCAAAACATCTGAGCCTGCACACAGGAAAGCCCCGGGGGACCTTGTTCCCTGGGTTTAACCGTGCCCCTGTTCCACGGCAGGGTGCAACGTCGCTGCCCCTGCCCTTACGCTCTGGCAAGGCTGCGCAGGGACCTCGGACACAACACAGCTCGGAGGAGTTTGATGTTCCAGGGAGAGCTCCCAGCAGGGTCAAGGTGTTGTCCAACTGTTCCCAAAACCCTCCCGGCAGGGAGCTGACAGCTCCACCGTCAGACAAGGAAGATCTCAGGATCTCCCAGAGCTCTGTGCCAGGACTCCACAGCCTGCACTGTGCACGAGAGGGCTAGATAGTCCTCCTAGTCCTTCCTGAGCCCCAAATCTACAAATCCTGCCGCACCCCACTCTTCCCCCTTCTGTTCCTGTGGTTTGCACGGTGCTGCCGCTTCCCTGGCGTGCGTCAGTCGCCGTGGAGGTACAGCACGAGACCGACCGTGCTGGGTCAGGCCAGGGGCTGTGCCGCCAGCCGCGGAGGCCCCGGGGAGTGACAGCACGAGACCGCCGGTGGTGGGTCAGGCCAGGGGCTGTGCAGCCAGCAGCGGAGGCCCGCGGAGAACCAGAGCAGACCTGGAGAAGCCGCTCCCCCGCTCCCAGCACCCGGAGCCAGAGACACTGTGCGTTTAACAGCGTCTGGTGAATCGTCCTTCCACGGACTCGCTGATCGCATCTGAAGCCGGGTGAGCTTGCACCAGCCCTGGCACACAGAGCTCCCACCGAGGGAGAGAGAGCACTTTGTCCTGTCCTTCATTCCTTGTCTTGGAACGAGCTCTTCCCCCAGGAGGGAACTTTCCCCCTTATCCCATAGCAGCCTAATTCTTATTTAAAAGCCTTTGGTGAAGAACCTTATAGAAATGCAGGTAGATGGTATCGATCACATCACCTTGCAGTGACCGGAGCACCTCTCCCAGCGGCGAGGAGCACACGTTCTCCTGCGCCAGGCAGGTCTGAGAACGCACAGGAACAGGCACAGAGCCCAGCTTTCACTTCAGTAAACCCCCTGGAGCTACTTGGGATTGAAGATGCTGCAGCAAACAGAGCAACAATACACCAACTACTTACGACAGCAGAGAGAGAAAGAAAAGAAGTGGCTACTCTTGCAGAGTTACACACACAGACCGGCTCCCAGGACCCCTCCACCCAGAAGCAGAACAAACCCCCGCAGCACGCGACACCGCAGCAGGATCCACAGCCAGTCCAAGCGGCTGCGATGAAATGGATGGAAACGCCCCGTGCCCAGGCAGGAAGACATACTTCCCTCGGGCTGCTCTTCTCACGCGTAGATCCAGTGCTCGGCCGTGTCCTCCCAGCAAGTCAGCTCCTCCGGGCGGAACCAGAGGGAGATCTCCTGCCGGGCACTCTCAACCGAGTCGCTGCCGTGGATCACATTCCTGTGGGGGAGAAGAAAGGGATCAGCCGGGACTAAGCAGAGAAAGGCAGGAGAGGGAAGCTGCAGCTTGGAAAATTTCACCTTGACCAATTTAATTAAACCGATTGAGCCAGTCACATCCTACAATACTCTTTCCGGCCGCACAGCCCTCCTCCTTCCAGCTCGGGCTGTTCGTGGTTACGCTGAACACGGCTTAGGTCACGGATGTGCAGGAGCTGTCAGCTCCCAGCACTCCTTCCTCCTATGATGAGGAACCATTTGTTTGCTACAGGAGGACCTGCAAGTGGCTGTTGATCTGGGGTTTGCCTTGGTTTTATGTCAGTAATTCAAGTTTTGCCTCCAGATTTCCCTCATTCCTTTTGCCAAGGCAGGTCCACTGAAGCAGGTTTGGCATCAGACACCGTGGAACAGAAACCTAATCCACGGGGGCTGCAGCCACCCGAGGTCACAGCCGGTGGATCTTCACTGGTGAAGAGCCCTGGTACATGTAGAGCTCCCACTTGGCTTTTGTTACAGACTCAGGTGCCTGGTGGAGCTAGAGCAGCTCTCCAGGTGCCATGCTCCCCCAGGAAAGGACTGAGAGGGCTCCTCCCTTCCTCTTCACAGTCTGACAGACTCAGATTCCCCGGAGCAAGAGACAAGCTCGGGGTGTTGGTCGACAGCCGGCTGAACATGAGCCGGCAGTGTGCCCAGGCGGCCAAGAAGGCCAATGGCATCCTGGCCTGTGTCAGAAATAGTGTGGCCAGCAGGAGTAGGGAAGTGATCGTGCCCCTGTACTCGGCACTGGTGAGGCCGCACCTCGAATACTGTGTTCAGTTTTGGGCCTCTTGCTACAAGAAGGACGTTGAGATGTTGGAGCGTGTCCAGAGAAGGGCAACGAGGCTGGTGGAGGGTCTGGAGAACAAGTCTGATGAGGAGCGGCTGAGGGAGCTGGGGTTGTTTAGCCTGGAGAAAAGGAGGCTGAGGGGAGACCTCATCGCGCTCTACAACCACCTGAAAGGAGGTTGTAGCGAGGTGGGGGTCGGTCTCTTCTCCCAAGTAACTGGCGAAAGGACGAGAGGAAACGGCCTCAAGTTGTGCCAGGGGAGGTTTAGATTGGACGTGAGGAAAAATGTCTTTACTGAAAGAGTGGTTAAACATTGGAACAGGCTGCCCAGGGGAGTGGTTGAGTCCCCATCCCTGGAAGTATTTAAAAGACGGGTAGCTGAGGCGCTTAGGGACATGGTTTAGTGGGCATGGTGGTGTTGGGTTGACGGTTGGACTCGATGATCTTAGAGGTCTCCTCCAACCTTAATGATTCTATGATTCTAAGCAAACCCCACCCGCGTTCAACAGAGAAGGCCTCAGGAGGCAGGAAAGACACAAACCCAGGCTCCTCCTTCTGGCAAAGCCAACCCCAGGAGGCAGAGGTCAGCACCTCCTGCCAGGGCTGCTCTGCAAGCTGTCAGAGACAGCTCCGATGCGAGCACAGAAGGGAGAAGCACTGCTCTGCGCATGCAGACTCGCGTGGCTCGGGCAGGCCTGGCGCAGGGATGCCTGGGCAGGATGCCCTGAGCTACTGAGGGAACAAAAAGCCAAAGCGCTCACTTGCTGACTTCAATGCAGAAGTCTCCTCGGATGGTGCCAGGCCTGGATTCGGCTGGGTTGGTCTCCCCAATCATCGTGCGAACTGTCTTGACCACATCCAGGCCCTGCCAGACCTACGTGACAGCAAAACAAGGATCAGCTTGCACAACTCCCCCCAGCAGATCCTATCATCTGTCCTCTAAATTCCCCATCTGATCTACCTGGGGGAGAGACAGGAAAGGGTCTCTCTGTAAATAGTCTTCAAAAGTTGATTTTGGAAAATAATCAGAATTGTCTGTGGATTTAATTTACCGCAGAAAATGTCCCTGCAGTTCAGCACAGCTTCAAGAGGCCCTCTGAAGAGAGAGGCCACCTAGTTGCCATCGTACCGCAAGCCCACGCTGCTTAAACATTGCCCTTACTTTCTGTTCCTTGGTTCTGGAGAGCCTGGCCAGCACTCACCATGGCCACCACAGGCCCAGAGCTCATGTACTTCACCAGCTGGCTGTAGAAGGGACGGTCACGAAGGGCGATGTAGTGCTCTTTCAGCAGCTCCTCCGAGGCCTGAGCACAAAGAGCACAAAGCTTAGTCTGCTCTGAGCCCGTGGGGATTTGGGCAAGGTCTGCACCTGAGAGATGTCGTTGAAGCTGGACAGCGCATGTTACAATTAAGCTCCTGCACAGACGCTCGCTGCCAGGAGTGAAACAGCTTTACTTTGCCGAGGCCTGACACAGGGAGGGGAGAAGCTTCTAGGTCAGAGGACCAACAACGGCCAGCTTACAACAGCCACGTACAAAAGCCCTGGAGCACAGACAGTGTGCTCCCCACAGCGGGAACCACTCCTCCAGAAGCAGTTTAGGCACCTGGGTGCCAACACCCCTCTGACCCGTGAGGACCTGGTGCCCGGGTGACAACAGCAGGCTGTACAAGCTGGCAGGCAGGAACCCCCCGGGAGTTACCAGCAGGGCCTTGCTCCCGCCTGGGCCCCTGGGCGCCAGGGACCCCCCCCACCCTGGCAGCAGCGGTACCGGCCGGGCCGGGCCGCTCACCTGCAGGAGCT